GATTGGAACTATATAAGACTCACCATAGATCAAATCATATCACTTAAGTTCCAATGCTCTTTTTAGACATACCATTGTGTTGTAGTGTTCCCAAAGGAGATAGATGTGAAAGAATTTTGTAGTCTTTAAGATGATTGTAAAATTCATGACTAAGATACTCTCCACCTCTATTAGATCAAAGAGACTTAACTTGCCCACTTAATTCTTTACTTCTCTTTGATCACCTTGAAGTTTGTTTGACTTATGTGTAATCAAATAAATATATCCATATCTACTAAAATCATCAATAAATATAACAAAGTATCTCTCACTATGTCTTGTGGTAGATCTAAACAGTCCACATACGTCAGTGTGTATGATGTGCAACAAATCATTGCGTCTTTCACAATTACGTGTGAATGGATCTTTTGTCATCTTTGAAAGAAACAAGACTCACATACATCATTTGACTCTAAGTTAAATGAATCAAAGATTCCATCCAACTGTATCTTGGTGATAAGTTTTTTGTTTGTATGACCATGCCAACAATGTTATACACATGATTTATCAAAAGTATCCTTGGGTGAATAAACACTTAATAATAAGCCCCTAATATTTATTAAACATATAATGGTTTCATAAAATCCATTGCATGGATTTTCTTTAAATTAGAGATTATCATTTTTGAAAACTAAGATACTTCTATTGTCAAACCCAAACTAAAAACCATCTCGATACAATGAATGAAAAGAAATAATGATTGTTTCCATATAAGGTGAATAATAACAATATAATCAAATGACTAAAAAACCACTAGATAAAACAAACTCATAGTCGCCAATCTCGGTAACGCCAACCTTGCTCTTCTTTCCCTTGATCAAGTCGAGCTCACTGTGCCTTATCTTCTTACTTCTCTTTAGTCACTGCACATCAGAAAATGTGAGTACCACATGTTGTGTCAAGGATCCACGAATTAGAAGTTGAAGCACAATGGTGTTTGATTATAAATATAACCGAGGTGCCAATGCCATTGGCCTTGTTCTTCTTGATGTCCTCCATGTACTTTAGGTATCTATGTTTCATTGTCCCTTTTGTTGGAGGTAGAAGTATATGGTCTCACTGGAGTCCAAGTCGGTGCTATGTCATAATTAACCTTCTTAGGCTTTGGTTTGGACAATCCAACATTAGTCTTTCATTTCCTTTGGAATGAGAGATGTTTTTCCTCTTGAAACCACCTTCCAAATTATTCATATTATAGTTCAATATGAACTTATAATACAAACTACTCTATGAGTTGAGCACAATATCATTGGCTAACTCTCAACGAAATGGAACGCCTAGATATTCAATTCTGTCAATGATCCCTTTCATTTTTAGAACATGGGTACTAACATATTCTCCTTCTTCTAGCTTGTAACCCAATAGACACTTCACAACTTCAAATCGATCATTTCTAGCTTGATCTTGGAACATTTTCTTGAGTTGCTCATTTTTTTAGTGCCTCAAGGTTCTTAAGACTCTTTTGGAGTTCTGGAACCATGGTCGCCAATTACACATGTCATAATTGGTTTTCTCTATAAGAGTAGCATCTTCTTGAGGCTCTTCAAGGACTACCTCATCTAGAACATACTTTTTTCTAGTGACTAATGGTGATCCTTAGCGAACAAATCCAATCGAGATAGTAGCTTCCAATGAGTTTTTCCTTTGAAAGGAGTTGGTGTATTGAGAAGTTTGACGAAGAGGTAGGTGGAGAGGAAAAATCACACTTGTACTAGTAGACATCGATAAACGAGGTTTCAAATTAGTTTGCTTAATTCATTTTTAAAATAATCGCCCAGCTGCAAAATTATTTAAGAAAAAGGCTAGGAACCATATTTCACTTCAAGATAAAAACTAGATTAGCCAAAATCACACCATGAAGTTATTTAGGCGGGCAAATTGTTTGCTAGTTTCAATTTCCACAAACTCCTAGATATGTCTAGATTTATTGATTTATGTCAATAGCATTTTAATCTCTTACATGCTCATCTAGCATTCATGACTAAATAAATCGAGGATCATGAATCTAAATGGTATATCAACCCAGCAAAACCTCGTGAAATTCAGCTCAAGTAGTGCTTGAGAATCGTAAGTATCACATCACCCCTACCATAATGAAACCAATGTGTTGGATCCAGGCACTACCTCACATTAGCCAATTATAAGAATGTGTGTGGGTTTCATGGGTTACATGAGATTTATGTTTTTATTAAAACTTGAAATTTGTTTTTATTTTAGTTAAAACATTTTAACCTTTTTGAAATCATTAATTTCATATTTAAATATACTTAAAATAAGAAAAATGAAATCACACACATATCAAGTACAAATAATAACACTACCAACATCGATCTTATGTGTCCCCTAATGAGAAATCAATGTAGAGACAAGTCATACTAAAGACATAAAGGGACTCTTCAAATCTTGTAAATGACCAACCACCAAATCTTGAGGCCACCTCAAATACCTTAGAACTCCAAGCTCCCAAATCCTTCACATGGTCTTGGGTATTCACATTATTACACTTTTTCTATTATAACTTATAAAATCCTAACTAAAATTTTACATTTAAAAAAATATTACAAATAAAAACTAGAAAACTAATGTGGCAACAAAGACCAAAAGTACAAACAACACATATGTCATTCAAAGCACAGTGTATCAGATATATCCAATCCAAACAAACAATTATTTGAACTTGTATTACATCTTTTAGACTAAATGAATAATCACAAAGTTTAAAGAAAGTGGACTTACAGTTTTTTTTAATGATCACATATACAAGAAATCATTAAAACAACAAATTCATAATACTTGACTTTTAATTAATAATTTCCAATTAAATAATTAAAATAATAAAAACAAGAAATTGGAATTTATCTTTTATAAACTCTCTCATTTGTATAGGTTCGCTCCTAAATCGTTTTTGTTTTGTAAAATGTTTAAAATTTTAAAAATGATTATAGTGAACATATCAGGTACAAATATAATTACAAAATGATAGAAGTCACATGTGCAAAGACGTGATGAAGATGTCTCTGATACCACTGTGGGGTTATGAGGATCTTTCACCACAAAGGTGCAAACAACGAAAACAGTATACAACAAAAAACTAGTAACACACAATACCGTAGTCGAATCTCTTAATAATCCAATCAATTCAACACAGCTAACTAAAAGAGGGTTCTAGGGTTACATATATCCGTAGCCTTTAATTTCCATATTCTATCTAGTTAGTTGGATGAAATAGAATCCAAACCAAGATTCCTGTTTTTTTATCACACCCACGGAAGTTAGGACACCGATATAGACACTTATGGATCTAGAATGCTAAAGAACCACCAAATTGTTCTTCGGGTACACCGTGTAAAGAAGGAGGGCATCGTGATCATTAGTGTTTTTTTTTTACGAAGAGAGTGCTAGGTTTTGGGAGTGCTATCTCTTAAAAGGCATCATTTAAAATTTACATGCTACCCTGTATTTGTAGGGTTGGATTGGATTTTTTTATTGGATAATTACTTGTCCACTAAGTAATTATTTATAAGACATGTGTATATCCACAAGATTTAACTTTCAAATATTTACACTTTTATCCCTATAGTTCTACATGTTTCCATTAATTAATTACACACATAATTAATTAACAAACTAGATCCCTATAATTCTATTGTCTCATTAATCGTTCAATTTTGTCGTTGGTTGAAACTTTAAAGTAGATTACCATTAATAGTAACATTACCAACCATTGTGATGGTGTGCATTATTTCCAACATAACTTATGATATGAACTTATCAACATGTTGAGTACTATGTCAGTAGCCAAATACAAAGAGAATGGAACACCTAGATGCTATCGTCTATCAATATGTGACTTATTTTTAGAATGCATGTACTAGCAAAAGCTCTCAATTAAAGCTTATATCCTAGAAGAGATTTGACAACATCAAATCGCTTTTGTCTTGCTTGCTCTTTGAACATTTCCTTGAAAGCCTTCATATCAGATGCATCAAGATTCTCGAAGCTCTTTTAGAGCACTGAAACCATGGTCACCAACATGAGGCAAGGGAATTCATTCAAATGATTATAACCATTTCTCAGTTGGGTCGCTTTGATTCAACTTATAACAATTTTAAAGGAGAAATAAATGTTGATTTTGGAAAACTCCGTCATCTTTGGTGGCTAACTCTTGGTCCAACCGAGGGTCTTGGTGGCATGAAATATTTTGATTCTTTGTTGAATTGCAGCAATTTGGAACTATTGGAACTTTCGGGGCTCCAACTAGAGAGGCGGATACCTGATTGGGTTGGGAACTTGACCAAATTAAGAACATTAAAATTTCAATATTCCTCTATTTCAGGCACCCTTCCTTCATCTATAGGAAACTTGCATAGACTAACTGTACTTTCTTTAGGCGGAAACAACCTCACAGGCATGATTCCAGAAAGCATCGGGAAGCTTAGCAACTTAGCGTACCTCAATCTTGGTTTCAACACTTTTTCTGGGATCATTCCAAGATCTATAGGAAACCTTTCTTCTCTAATCCAAGTTTCACTTAGAGAAAACAAATTGGAGGGTACAATACCCTCGAGTATTGGAGCATGCAAACAGTTGATACTTCTATCATTTGCTTTAAACAACCTCATAGGAACTATACCAAAGGAAATATTCGAATTGTCTTCACTTTCAATAGCACTCGATCTAAGTCGAAACAATCTGTCAGGTGTGATTCCACAAGGTATTCATCGCCTGAAAAACTTGGACTTACTTGATTTGTCTATGAATCATTTATCGGGTGAAATTCCTAGTAGTTTGAGCAGTTGCATCAGCCTTCGAATCCTAGACTTTTCAAGCAATTCCTTTCATGGATTGATTCGGGAAGAATGGAGTTCTTTGAAAGGCCTCATATATTTTAACCTATCAAGCAATAACTTTTCCGGACCTATTCCAAGATTTTTGGCGCAAATTCCTTTAAGTTATCTAGATCTTTCATATAATGATTTTGAGGGAGAGGTATATGTTAAGGGTGTCTTCACAAACACATCTGTAATATCAGTCCAAGGGAACCCTAGACTTTGCGGGGGAATTGCTGAGCTTCGTCTACCCAAATGCACAAGTATCGAGTCCAATAAGAAAAGCAAAAAGCTTTCTCTTGGTGGTATTCTGGGAATTTCACTATCTTCTGTTGCTGCATGTGTAGCTCTGGTGTTCTTTGTATTGGTATACTTTTGTGTAAAAAAGAAGAAAGACACACCAACAGAATCAATACAGATCATTGAATCTTTTGAAATGGTTTCATATGAAAGGATTTTCAATGCGACTGATGGGTTTTCTTCACAAAATCTTATTGGTACAGGTAGCTTTGCTTCGGTTTACAAAGGAGTTCTAGATGAAAAGAGTACGAATGTGGCAATCAAAGTACTAAACCTCCAAGAAAGAGGAGGTTCCAAGAGTTTTATAGCCGAGTGTGAAGCCTTGAGAAATATTCGTCATCGCAACCTGGTTAAGATCATAACTGCTTGCTCAAGCCTGGATTTCAAAGGTAATGATTTCAAAGCTTTAGTCTATGATTTCATGCCAAATGGAAGTCTTGAGAGTTTGTTGCATTCATGCACGAAACTAGACCATATGCCTCCTCATCATTCATGTAAACTAGATCTCATTCAAAGAATAAGCATTGCTAAAGATGTGGCTTGTGCTCTTGATTATCTACACAACCATTGTGGAAATGTAGTTGTTCACTGTGATTTGAAGCCAAGCAACATTTTATTAGATGTTGATATGGTTGCTCATATTGGAGACTTTGGGCTGGCAAAAATTCTTACACTTGAACAAATTCCTAATGCAAACATGAGCAGTTCAAGTGTTATGAGAGGAACTATTGGGTATGCAGCACCGGGTAAATTTATGATCCCTAGTCCACTTGATTTTTTTATGTTAATTAATCTTTGTTTTACTATATATGTACAAACATAATTCTACATAACATGCAGAATATGGACTTGGAAATAAAGTATCGACCGAGGGGGACATCTATAGCTATGGGATCCTATTGTTAGAGATGTTGACCGGAAAAAGACCTGTTGATCTAATATTTCAACAAGGACAGAGCCTGCATTCTTATGCAAGGAAAGCTGTGGCGGATGGTTTTGTGCTTCGTATTGTGGATCCCATGCTTCTTAATGATGATGTCAACCACACATTTTTAATTTCATTAGTACAAATCGGAGTGCAATGTTCTTCTGAGTCTCCACATGATCGAATGGATATTGGGAATGTTATTCAAGAGTTGCTTTCTATGCTCGGTAAAGCTACTTCAAACTCCACATACAAATTTGGTGCGCGTGCCACCCAAGAAACTATTGTGTGATTGTGTTATAGAATTTGTTTTATTGTGTATCAACGTTTTGGTATCTCTGTTGTTGATGTTGGTATGACTATTAATAACGTGTACGTAGATAGACAATATTTTCTCATGAACTTTCGTAGCAATATTGTTAATAGGAGGATGACAACTCTTATTATCATTGAAACTACAAAGACATGCTTGAAAATTGAGTGAATTCTTCTTTTGGAATTGTGAGAAAAAAGTCGGGAACACACGGTTTCTCTTGGGTTCTACTTGGGTAAGATTTTCTTAAAAAGCTTCAAGTTTATTATTAATTTTTAATTTAATTTGATTTAGAAAACATAATTATATATAAACATGGTAAAATAGATTGTATTTTATTAATTATTAAACATGCGTCACATAAGGAGTATATATAATAACCGTATTTACACACTAATCCCTATCTATTATTTACTGTCTAATATTCCCCCACAACAAAGACTTGGTAAGGACCTGCAGCTTGGACCATAAACCTTAAATTTTGTGTGAAGGCAGAGGCTTACTGAATACATCAACGATCTAATCATTTGTGGAAACAAACTGAGGTGAGAGCTTCTTTACAACAAACGTTTTTTTCTTACAAAGTGAAAATCAACCTCAACATGCTTAGTGCGAGTATGTAATATAAGATTGGAAGATAAAAAGGTGGCTCCAAGGTTATCACACCACAAGACTAATGTTGAAGTCATTGGAATACATAACTCTCATAATAAGGCTTCAAGCCAAGTGACCTCGGTAACAATGTCAGCAAAGGTTTTGTACTCCACCTCAGTAGATGCGCAAGACACAGTCTTTTGTTTTCTTACTGACCAAGAAACCAGATTTGAACCAAGATATACAACAAATCCCCTAGTGGATCGACGATCAAATGGACAACCAACACAATTGACATCGAAATAGGAAGTAAGCCAAATACTTTGTTGACTATGTTGAATAGTAGTGTCACTTGAAGGTGTAGGCATGAATAGTAGTGTCACTTGAAGGTGTCAGACAAAGGCCGAAATCGTTGGTGCCTTTAAGATAACCAAGGATTCGTTTAACAACAAAATAGTGATTTCATTTGGAGAAAGCATGAACTGACATACTTTGTTGATTATGTTGGATTAAGGTGTCTAAACCAATAACTAATTGGTATATTCATGAACTCGAAGCAAAGTTCTTTTCAGGTTCCCATGAAAACTAGTATTTAGATCAAATGATTTTGGATGAAGAGACTGATTTGTTAATTTATTATGTGATTAATAAATTAATTAGAAACTGAAAAAATGATTTATTAATATATTATATGATTAATATATTAATTGAAATAGTAATAATTAATTTGGAATTAATTAGAAATTAATTTGAATTAATTTTGGGATTAATTTGATTAATTAAAAGTGCAAGGATTGAAGCTGTAATTGTTTAATAGTTGAACAAGAAGGTATTTCATTATCTTGCAAGCCCTTGGACGAAATTAAGGAGGGTTTTTAGGGTTTTGGGGATATTCCTTATGGATAATTTGGGAAACTAGATAATTCCGGATTTGAAATAATATTATTTTATTTAAAATTAGGGTTTCTAGGATTTTCCTATCAGCTATACATAGGGTCCCTTAGCATTATATGCAAACACACAATGTAGACTCTCTCATGATCCGAAATTCTCCTCTGGCCTCCTTTATCCTCAAGTCTTCTTGTTACTAGGGTTTTTTGTACAAGCTATTAGAAACATTTATTCCTTTGGTGTTAGCTTTCCAATTTCTTGAAGAAGGAATATGCTTTGATTATTTGCTATAAGAATCAAAAGGTATGTAACCTTAGATCTATATGAACCTTGATTTGTATAGCCTTCCCTTATGGTTTCTTGATGTTCATAGATTATTGCTATTGATATACAAAACATACATCCTTTCTAGGTTGCATGTGAATTTAAGCTTTTAAGTGTTTTTTCCCACGTACATTTTTTTATAATCTAGAAAACACATCAGACTACATATGTGATATATGTTCTAGATAAGGTGACATATTATAAAGCACCAACCACCTAATGATATCGGACATGATTAACAAAAAGTGGACTATCCCTTAGAGCTAAAGCAACGTAAGTTGGGAGCGAAATGGTGACCGACTTGGCCTCACCAAGACTAATGTGCTATAATATGTAAAATGTATTTTTTTTCTTAGAGAGAAAAAGGCCAGTGCCACAAAACACAACCGCAACACCAAGAAAGTATGAAAGTACTTCCATTCCCTAAACAACGAATTTCTGACTAAGACTTTTAACGGTCTGATCAATAGTCAAAGGTTTGTTTCCCGTAAGGATAATATCTTCTACATAAACCAAGATATAGTCATGTGTACCCTTGGTTGAGAGTATAAATATTGATGAATCTTTATGAGAACCTTTAAGCAAAGAGAATTTAATGCTTGAGACAGATACTAGAACCAAGCATGAGGGGCTTGTTTTAATCCAAACAAGGATTTATTGAGTAAAAAGACATTCTTCGGTTTTTGACAGCCTCATTAAGATCCCCATAAAAAACAACCGTGTCATCTAGTTGCCAAAGAGTCCATTTTTGTGATACGACAATGGAGAGATCAACTCTGTCGGTAGTAAACTACACAACCAGGATAAAAGTTATTGAAAGATCTTTATGCCTAAGAGTCATTATAGAATGCTATTGCTAGATAGTATATGATCCTAAAGGGTCACACTAACAACAACTTGATGCTAATATATTATTTATAAGAATTTCATTCTTGATAAATAAATATATATCTTGTAATTAATGGGATATTATTTATTTCATGGAAATATTAATTTTCAATGATAGTATCGTAACATATCATAATATATATCATAAGGTATCATTTATTATGACATGTACATCTTTTTGGACTAGAAAGACTTTTTTCTTTTAGCTAATTGGATAAGGGTTTATATGTAATAAACGCATGAGAGATTTTTTTTATAAAAATCTCTTCATTTATATATTATAAAATCGTAAGTACATAAATAGGGTACAAGTGAAGGGCTTTTGATTATTATATTAAGGCATGCATCCTTAGAAGGGGTATCTTGACATAATGATGAATCATGGATCATAAAGTGCTAAGACTTATGGGATAAATCCTATTTTCTCCATGCTCTCTCAAGTTTCTTTCTAAATACTTAAAGAGATAAGGACTTATATGAGAAAAGTTTGATACTTGAATTCTCTCTTTTAAGCCGAACTAGTTTATTTGTCTTAAAAGCTTAAGTGATTCTTTTTATTACAAGACTATGACTAGAATCTTATCAAGTTGGCAAATTGTTGATATATATATATATATATATATATATATATATATATATATATATATATATATATATATATATATATATATATATACTTTGGAGATTGTTACAATCTTCATCAACTTCTTAACTACGAAAAGGGACCAGAGACTCCAAAGGTTATAATATTTACCTTTTCTATACTAGTTTTAATATCTCCTAAACTATGAAAAATGATATTTGGTGAGTAAAATGATTATAGTTTATTCAAATACAAAAAATGTTTATGTTGCTAATTACATCAATTTTCTCACTATAATTATATTCTTTTTCAATAAAAACCCAAAAAATGGTATCAAAACCATTTTTACAAACTTAGTTCGATTATTTGATAATTTGGTGTTATCTTTGTTTTCGAAAAACATTGATTGTTTTCTTTTGTACGAATATTCGTATATACATTCCATGACAACTTTAAAATTGAAATCTTTTAGTGACAAAAATTAACATGTATTTTTTGTTAGTAAAAGTTGTATTAGAAAAACAAAGTGTTGTTTTATATAATTTTGAGTGTCGCTCTCTCTCTCTCTCTCTATATATATATATATATATATATATATATATATATATATATATATATATATATATATATATATATATATATATATATATGTGTGTGTGTGTGTGGGTATGTGGGTGTGTAATGTGCATAAACAAGCGATGAACCTCTTGTGTTCTATGTGTTGATTTGATGAAATTGTGGTAATATTTATCTATTCATATGATATGTAATAATTAAATATATTAGTTTTAATTTATTTATAAGTAATGTATTACTTTTAGAAATGGTTATATATATATATATATATATATATATATATATATATATATATATATATATATATATATATATATATATATATATATATATATATATAACAAGATGAATATGAAGACCATTTTGGAGAACCAAGTCTTCACATCATGATTTCATAAAATATTCGTAACTTCTATATGATTGTGTAGTTTTGGAGCTTGAAATTATCAAAGCAAGAGGGAGGACATAATAAAACAAGTTGAAGATTTTTTGGTCCCTTTACGTTGCTTAGGAAGGACTTGGCATTTTTGTAGTGGCTCACAAAAATGTCATTGGCTGGATGGTTTATGCACATATGTTTTGCATGCATGTGTTGCTTAAATTTATATTAATATTGTGTTATTATTTTTAAATTTGATTTCATATATATCTAATATTTTTAACATAAATAGCATCACAAGGAGTGTAAATTTTAACAAAATTTGTCAGTTAACATAAGATGCTAAAAGGTCTTAAAAATAGCACACACTGCATTATTTAAAACTAGCTAATGGTAGCAAACGGTAAATATCAAGATTTAAATTATATAAGTTTAAAATTAAGATTTTATAAACCTATCAAATGAAAGATTTTGTATGCCCAAAAGTCATTATAAAATGATATTGCTACTACTAATTGATTCTTTTTATAGTAACTTGATTATTAATAAAAATAATAAACACTTATATTTAATTGGAAAAACATTACTTTATGAAAATAGTATTTTACCAACATATTGAGAATTATTGTTTGTAGAAAATAATAATAAAAGAGAACAAAACTAGCTTTATCTCATGGTATGCATATTAATGTTGTGTACAACATTTTTCTCACTTTGACTAACCATTAAGTTTCCATCCAACTA